CATACGAGCAGGGAGCTTAGATTTTGCCTGGATGCTGCTAGAGTTCATTGGCATTTTTAAAACATGCCTATCAAAATTTTGAGTCTTTTGCTGACACCTGATGAGCAGAAAGTAAGAAAAAACCTGAAAATTAAACCGAATAAACTTGCCCCTGCGGATAACAACAATCACGCAATGCGCTCGCACATATTAGTTAAAGGGGTGACATATTAATGGTTGAGAATTATCCGCAAATAAAACATCCTCTATTGAATTGTACAGACAAAATGTTAGCTTTAGATCAAGCTCCCATACTACAAGGATTGTGGTACTCCCGGGCGCGGTTCTGGTGAAGATGTAAAAGCTGCTTGGAAGAGATGTGCCAACGATTATAACTGCGCTACTCAATGTGTTAAGGTTTTCTCCGTCAAATCGAGTTTGCATTTTTTTCAGCTTGCATATTTACTTAGGCTTACTACGAACGTTACAAGCATAAATGCGATGGGACTGGGCAAGGACCATGCCAGGTTATGGCTCGTCTACACAATGGTGGCCCAAGCGGATGCCAAAAATCCGCTACTGTTGGTTATTGGAATGCTATTCACAGATGCTGTGGCTGCTCTTAGGATGCTGCCGTAGACTGGGAAGACAATCAGTTCGAAAACGGTGTCTGGGTGATAAGTTTTTGATTGCACCGTTTTTGCATTCTTTATTCAGAAACTGCAATTCATTCAAGAATCCTACTACATAGCTCTAAAAATAGCAAGTTTACTCAAGACCTTCAGTAGAAAACAGCTTGACAGCTTATGAAATATTTCTTCTGTAACTTCTGTAATGCATTTTAATTTCGCTTGTATTTTTGTACTGCTTTTCCCACATTTTCTATGTTTTGACTTCTCTTGCGTAATTGTTTGACATTGAAATAAATTCTTCGTTACAAACGCACATGCCTCGAAACGAAAAGAAAGAATTAGTTTTATAGCTCAAGAAGAGGGCTTAGATGATATTCTCAATCACTTCAACCATTTCTGCAGATCGCAACGCGTTAAAATGTGCGCCATGTGATTTCTTCCAAAGGTTCACATGGACATTCTCCTACATAGCTGTCGCTCTCTTAGTGCTGTGATCTTACTGTATTCTTTTTTGTAGGTGTTTGTCACTTTAATACTCTTTTCATGCCAGGCCCCTTTCTCTCTTCCCTCTTCTTCTCGTGAAGTAAAAATCATAAATGATTCCATGAATAAAAAGTCCACTCTATGGTGCATTTTCAGAGAGAATAAAAGCCATCTCTTGTGTGAGGTAGAGACTCTCTTAACACGTTTTGGACCGGTGCTGCACATGGTGCAGCA